TTTTCTTTTTCTTTATATACAATGCCCTTTCATCTTTCTACTCACCTATATATAAACCCTCACTTTTCTCTACACCAATATATTATATTTTTCTCTTTATCTCTTCAATTTCATTTTATTAATATGGTGAGTTCCAATTTTATCTTTTCATATTTTCTGTCTTTTACTTCTTATCTTTATATTCTTAATTATTTTATCATTATTAGTTTTCATTATATATATAATATAATGTAATATAATGCGTTAAAATGAAGGAAGATGAATAGATGCTTAAAATTTATGAAAAATAAATGCATAAGATTGTAATGCATGGCATAATCGGTATTTATATGATTACAATTTTTTCTAATCTTTTGGTTTTCTTCTTCTTTATGTATAGTACCTTTCCATCTTCCTACTCACCTATATATAAGCCCTCACTTTTCTCTACACCAATATATTATATTCTCTTCTTCATCTCTTCAATTTCATTTTATTAATATAGTGAGTTCCAATTTTTTTCTTTTTTGTTTCTTGCTAGATAGTACCCGTGCCGTCGCACGGGAGCAGTAAATGTTGTCTTTTTAAAATTAGATAGTACCCGTGCAGTGCACGGGAACATTAAATGAAATATTTTATATTTTTATTTTTTATATAAGATATTATTTACTTTTAAAATTTGAATATAAATTAAAAATAAATATTAAATATATTTGTGTAATTTTTTTAATATATATTTATGTGGACTATATATAGTAGGAAGAGAATTTCAAGAGATAGGTAATAATATTAGAAAATTAATGATAATAATGAGAATATTTTATGAGAAGAAGATTTAAATATATTGATTATCTAGTGAGTTTTTTATGAAAGGAAAAATCAAAAGATATGTCTCTTTCTCTTCTTGTGATTTAATGTATATGTAACGGAAAATAGTAATGAACATATTAATTTAATATCCATCACAAAAATTAGAGAAATTATTTTACTACATATTTATTTATTAATTAAGGATATACAGCAAGTTTAACCAACTCATTAATATAAAATGTGCTCTTGTTTTT